GACTTCCTTGCTCACTGGCACTGAATTGGGCTCGCGTTCTGTTTCTTCGGAGTCCAGAGAGGTACTTGAATTATTATGGATAATTATATCACTCCTCAGTGTAGTCACCGACATTCTGCCCCGAGTATACTGCTTTTCGCTGAAACCTTTCCTGGCGTCGTCCAAAGCCTCGAGCAGGACCTGCACGTCATCCCTCGAAGGCAGACGTGCATTTTGCATTATATAATCGACCCTGTCTCTGATCCCTTGCTTATACTCTTGCACTTGGCCATTGTCTGTCACGCGAACGTAAACGAACAAGGTGAACACGCCCACCAGGAACACGACTTTCCACTGCCGGGTCAACACGATAAACTTCATCATCTCAGCAATTCACCACAATAACAGGAAATAATCACTTCATCTTCTGACTACAGAAACAACCCCCACAATATATGCCGTCCGATTCGCAGCCCAGAAAGCCATGGACCGCCCCCCTCCACGTGCGTTCTCCGACTGAGGTTACGAGGGAGGCGGAGAAGGAGCGTCTCGCGGAGGCAAGCCCTGATTCTTAGGGATTTTACCAGACTCAGGGAAGGAGGTTAGGGTTAGGGTGAGGGGGGGGGGGAGGGTACAGAGTGCTTCTGTTTTTGCCTTTGTTCTCATTCACATCACAAACGCCTTTTCAGTTAGGTAAGTTATCTTATTTTACAATTGATCCCGTGGTCCACATGTCTGTGTTTCTCGGACCAGACTGGGAAAAGTGGGGTTACTTCCAACACGGTGTCGATTCCTGCATTTCATTCCTGTCGGCGTTATTAATACAGACATTACTTTTATCATTATTACTCTTACCGTTATCTTCATCATTTATATTATCATCAGCGTTATCATTTTTCCCATCATTATCATACGTATTACTGTCGTTATCATTACAATCAGTAACATCCTTATTTGGATAAGTATCATTATCATCATTATGTCATTATCTTTACCATCATTTTCATTACTACTATATAATTAGTATCATCATCACTGTTATTGTTATTATTATAATTATCATTATTATTTTTATTATTATCATTATTTTTATTATTATCATTATCATTATTATTATTGTGGTTTTGTTATTATTGTTATTATTATTGTTATTATTATTATCATTATTATTATTGTTGTTATTATCATCATTATAATCCTTATTATTGTTATTATTATTATTGTTATTAATGTATAATAGATATGAATGATAATGAATATCTTGACAATACAAGAGATGTATATGACCGGTTCCGATTAAATTTTCGTCAAAAATACGAAACCGGTTAAATCCATCTTGTATTGTGAAGATATTCATTCTCATTTATACCTTTTATACATTTGTCAACAGGAATTCCGTTGATTGATGTTAATGACATTATTAGTATTATCATCATAATTATCATAACCATTACTCTTATAACCTTTATTATTATTATTATCACTATCCTTGTGACTTGATTCTTCTTATTGCCATCATCAAAGTTAACAATATAACGAGATTTATTTTATCATTTTCTCACTATGTAAATGATATGAACCGTTTTTATCACGGTTTATATAAGAATTGACCGCTCTCTTATACGCCAACAATTTCAGCTTTATTCATTTCCATTCAAACTCATTGTGCAAGTTCAGACATTATTTTTCTCATAATCGTCATGTATTTCTTGTAATTTCTCATAACAATAGTTTTCCTCTCGAATTGTTTTTAGTATTTAAATAGGCCTACTTGCCATCTTGTTTTTTTGTTATTTTCTTACATCCAGACCAAATATCGGTTATTTATGTTTGTCTTGCCTCTTCGTCAGGCCAATCAAAAATTATTTGTGCATTTTCTGACTTTAGAAGTGCTTGTCAGATGCTATCTTCTGACTTGAAATTCAAAATACTATCAGCTTTTTATTCTTTGTTCTGAGATCATTCCCTTGTTTTGTTACAGTTTATGCCAATGATATATTTATAGTCCGTCTTGCATTGTCAGGACTACTACGAACGCACTGCTATTTTTTTATGCATTTTGCTCCACCCTGACTTTTTATTATCCATGATGTCCATTTCTCTAGTCTTTTCCCGTCTTCTATTTTCAGTTATTTGCTCTTGTATATTTATTATATTGATGCGGTAGTAATTTTCTTCATACTCCATCTATCTTCCATAACTCTCTTCATCATAACATGTACTTTCCGTGTCATTAGCTTTGTCTTGATCTTCCTCACTATCCCCGTCTCGGGCTTTCTTGGCGTGGCCTATCAGTGAAGCTGACTTTGCCCTTTAATGGTCTGCATTAATATTCTGTTCTGTCCGAATTCTGCATTTTTTGCCGTTTGCTTAGGAAAGTCTCATTTTTTTCAAATTTATTGGAATTGGCTAATCCGTTTTTATTCTTGTATGTATTTATTTACTCATTTATTATTATTTTTTGCCGGTTTGTTTGGATCCATTCGTTCTTATTTTTGTTTCATTCGCTGAGTCATTCTTTTCTTGCCTTATCTGGCCTTTTATTTTTTTCCAGTTTCATTTATAAGCACCTCATCCTGTTAATAATAAATCCTTATTATCAACATTATCACTGCCATTATCATCATCGTATTTGAGTAATGGCAGTTGTAATGGCAACAGAACCTCTAGAGCAAGGTCTTGCAACCTAAGATGCCATAACATATTTTATGCATTTACTTTTAACCCTTTGGCAGCACAGAACGGGTACATCTCATGCACAGATTTCTCACTCCCACAACTGTATGCAGGTCGGGAAGGAAAACAAAAAATATTCATTAGAAATTTGACATATATTCACGAGGTGATATTTTATTTTGTAAAGAATGTGGGATTCGATAACATATTTTAGGAGGAAGAAGATTGGAAAACGTTGGGGACCACGGTGGTAAAGGACACCGAGAGGGTTGTGTTTATCCCTGTTCTCTCGAAAAAACGGAAGTGTATTGTCCATGAGGACTGACATCACGCATGCGATAATCTCTCTATGTGACACTAGAACAGAGAATGTCAAATCTACTACCAGCTTCAGAATGTTACATCTCCGTAAGAATGTTACATGTGAGATGGTCTTGCGTAAACAACGGAAAATCAAGGAAACACTGTCAAAATGTCAGGGGAGACAAGGTTATAGGGAGTTACGCCTTCTGGTCTCACGAAAATGGCAGAAGGCAGAATTTGCACAGTAAACAAGAACATTATACTGGTGAACAACTCTACAGCGGCAAGCAGAGTTGCCGACAAGTGAACTAGTCAAGCTCTCGTCCTCTGAGGATGTCATCTCCTTACTTTTTCAGCCTCGCCCCCCGGGACAGACTTCGTTCCAGCACCACTTCTTAATGATTCTGATAGCTTCTTAGACTCCTTTAGTAAAATATACTGTGAGTTTCTCTGCCACTCATCACATTCAGCCAGTCACCCTTTGCGCAACTAAAAAGAAGGTACACTTGTTAAGCTAGGTAGGATAAGCATCAACTGGCCATTTCAGTCACTCATGTCTGTTTGGCAGTAGTAATACCTGTGTGGGTGCGCAATGGAATTCATCCTTCCTCACATCAACATGTATTGTAAGTTGACAATATATGAGTTGGCAAATGTTACTTGCATAATCATTAATCTTTCATGACGTACAAACTCCTAATGTCATACTTATTCCAGATGTTTTTTGACCTCATTAGTTATACAAGCGTCGGTGCAGGAAACTCAGAATTTTCCCAGCTGTATATGACATTAGTTGGACCGTTTCTGGCGCTAAAAGTGTTTCCTCTCGTCGCCAAAACAATATCTGCATTTGTGTGTGTGTGTGTGTGTGTGTGTGTGTGTGTGTGTGTGTGTGTGTGTGTGTGTGTGTGTGTGAATTCCATGACAGGGTACTAATCAAATGCTCGAATACTTTGGCGCCACGAATGCTTAGGACAGTTTTCCTAGCACGTAGGGGGAGAGACAAAGAGAACGTGTAGGTCGAGGATATGCGTCGTTCGACTTATTTATTTCTGGATATGATACCCCCATGGTAAATTCATGAGGCATCTCACAGCGCAATTCAGACAGCATGGTTGCACTGTCAGATATGTATACAATGCGTAACGCTTAACTAAACAAAGTAACAGTAATTTTAAGTATTTGGTTTGGTGAAATGTATTACGTCGTCATTAAGTATTTTCTCCAGCCAGCTTCTCAGATATTTTTAATTTTGAGTCAGTATTTAGATCGTAGAAGAGCTAAGAAGTTGATACACATGTGTATCGGAGGGATGATTTTAGAGTTGCCCCCTTTTCATCAGTAAGACGAAGTCACGAAAACAAAATGAGTTGTTCCACAATTCTGATTATTGTTTTTACAAAAAAGAAAGAAAAGAAAAGAAAAGGAAAAAAAGAAAATAGAAAAAAAAGAAAAGAAAGAAAGAAAGAAAAAATATATAGATAGATAGATAGAATGGGGAATTAATATAGCGTTGATTATTTCACATACAATTTTGACCTTTCTCGCAATCAACTAATGCAAAAACACCAATAGCGCTAAGAAAGGTAAAGTTTTCTTTGCTATTAATTTTTCTGTTATCCTCCAGTCTACATTTCACTTTGTGAGAGTCCGTCTTAACTTTGCCGTGTATTAGTGAGCTACCGCGCCTGAAAATGCGTCTCCCGGTCACCTAGAACCCATACTAAGTTGGGAAAAAATATTTACTTTCTCTTCCTTAGAAACTTGATTGATGTGTATTTTTAGCCATATTTTAGTTTCTTTCTGGATATTTTGTCAGCATACATACACTGCCTGAAAATTCTTTCTTTGGCAGCTTCAATGACTATAGCGGTAGTGATAAATAGAGTGCAAGGCTTTTCATATAACTACATCTCCTAAAATGTCGATCAGTGGCTACAGTAAATAGTTGTTTTTTTTATCGGTAATCTTTTTCATTGTCATGTTGGAAAGATGAAAAAAGATAAAGATAGGAAAGAGAAGGTGATAAATAAAATATACAGTAATATATATATATATATATATTTACTTATTTCATACAGTATAAAAATCGAAACTATAGCTCAGTTATTAGTTGTTACAGCGTGGGCAATTTTAATATACATATAAAAATACGTCTGACCTAGTGTCTCTCGAAAGCATTTCATAAGTATATCTTTCAGCACAATAATTGCCACAGCAGATCTAAACAGGCTGATGTTGTTTAACAAGATTTTCCATTTGTTTGCATTAGGAAAAAAAAACTTAAAAGACATTTCTTTAGTGATATGTCTTAGTATTCTACCACTATCTTAGAAAAATGGGAAGTAAAAAAATATGAAATGCAGATAAGATGATATTATACAGTGATCAAACTAGCAATCAATTTTCCCTAGAACGGAGGTTTAGTGAGAATTAAGAGCGTCTAGTGAATGCAACATTAAGTCATGAAAATTGGCAATACTTCTAATTCATGCTTCCAATTACATGAAAATCAACGTCGATATGTTAAGCTTAAACAAATGATATTTTTTACTTATGTTGACATCAATTCAAATTTCTTCTACCCTTTGGAAAAATTGCTGCTAATAATGAAAACTCTGTATTCCTTGCCTTTAGGTCAGCACCCATGTTAATGAGAACACAACACTCTCAAAAATTGCTTCTTCATAAAACAACATAGCCGTATGTCATAGTATTATATAGCAAAATGTACAAAAATTACATTCACAAAAAAACATTTTCTACAGATCTCACGGAATGCGAAAGTGTTTTAAACCTAAAACTGTTCAAGAAAAAAATGTTAAAACCAATGTGATATTTTTTTAGACAAGTTTTGGTAAATCTGATACATGCGGTAGCTTCTGACTAAAGGTTGAGGTAAAGAGCTATTTTCTTATCAATGAAGGAATACATTGTCTCTGTTTTGCAAACCATCACCATGTGAGTATCTCTACAACATAAAAGTACAATATATACATCCTAAACTCTCTTGACTAGATACTGTATTAGCTCTAGAATTACTGTGAAAGACATAGTAAACTATATGTAAAGTATTACAATGATTGCAAATATTCCACAAAGAAACACTCTACTTATAAAAAATATCAAAGATAAAGTTAAGCTCTCAACAGTGCAACAGATGATCCTTGGCGCATCAAATATTCCTAGTGGATCATTAATTAATCAAATCTGCCAACATCCATGGCAATAGAAAATGTTCAATATCTCTTGCGATTTTGCAAAGCTTGGACCAACTGCAATATGCCTGAGCTTCATTCTCTAAGGACATGTACAAACAGATCCACTTGTATTCATAACATATAAAAAACAGACATTGCAAGTCACATGAAATATACAGTAAGTACTATGTAGTCAACAGTAAATATTTCTAGCATGTGATGCCACTGCCACTATAACTGCAATGACCTAACATATTCCTTTGTGTTTCCAAACTATAAAATATACTGAAAACTTTAAACTGACTTATGCATTACTCTAAATTACTAATCTGTAATTAAGTGAATGACACTGTCATTTTTTCCACAGTATAAACTGGAACACTAACAAAAAGACCCGATCTTTGTTAATTTTTTTTTTGTCAAGACAAGAATTCTGAGCGTCATGTGGCAGACATTACTAGACCCAAACACAGTATACTGTGACCTTAAATCTTAGTCTCTACCGTTGGAATCTATAAAACTAAGACTTCCCAAAGCCAGTGTTGGGAAATCCTCTCACATTTTACAGTTCGACTATCACAAACGAAAGATTCAAGGCCTTGAACACAGCGGTGAGGTAGGGTGTGCTCAGACGTCGAGATCCTCCCACTCCTCGAGTTCTCTGGGCGTAAGGGTGACCCTCACGCTTGTGATCTTGCCCAGGCCGTCGTGACTCTTTCTCGTCAGGGGGTTCTCGCGCACGTCCAACTCCTCCAGGGTCTTGGCCTTCTGCACCTCCTCCACTTCAAGGTCTGTCGGCAAAACAATGGAAATTGAAACACTCGTAACTACTCCCAGAATGGGCTGGTTACAATGTTTGATTCCTGCTGAGGCCGCATCGCAAAATCCAAGCCCAATGAACATATCACTCTGAATGACTATCAAAATAAAATGAAATAATAATATTAATAGTAACATAAAAAATAATAACAACAACAATAAAAGTAATAATAATAATAATAATAATAACATTAATAACAAAAACAACAATAATAATAATAATAATAATAATAATAATAATAATAAAATCAATATCAATAACAAAAAAAATAATAATAATAACAAAATAATAAAAATAACAATAATAACAACAACAAATAAACATGAAATACGTATGAACGGAATAACTCACCCATAATGTAGTTGTTGTTGACGAAGATGGCCTTCACCTTCGGCAGCCGGAAAACCACATTTGGCAAGTTGACGAAGGAATTGTGACTCAAGTCCAGGCGCTGGAGCTCGATGCAGTCACCCAGCTCCTCGGGCAACTTGGACATCTTATTGTGGGACAAGTTCAGTTCTGCCAAAGACAAAAAAATAAATAAATAAATAACAATCATCTCTTGGTTTAATCTCACTTAAAGACGAATTGGTCATTTCGAGTAATGCAGAAGTCGGTTTAAAGTTGCCAGCATTAATTTTCCCCGTAGATTAAGATTCCCTGATGATTAATGGTATTCATACAGTATGTCAGATATACAAAATAAAAAAAGGGCAGAATATTATATGAACGCCCAGTTTTTCTAGCTTCCCATTCAAACCGTTTTTCTTAAGCATTTTTTTTTTAAACTAAAATCGACATACACATAAATAGTTTTATTTCCCATTCAAATCGGCAATCTTAACATCTCAATGAAGTACCAAAGAGGCCCCTCAATAGATACGAGTCAGCCCTCCCAAAACGAACGGAAAACGTGGATACCAAAGCCTCTTCACATCCTCAGACCTTCTGTTTACGACGGTCTACAAAAATGCACTATAATGAAGAAAACAATTGAAGAAGCAAAAGTCAACGATAAACCCGACGTCGGAATGCGCGGAACTTCTGCAGTTCATGGTAAAAACTTTTTTGTTCTTCTCTGAGCCTCTGGGTGTGTGAGTGTGTGTGTGTGTGTGTGTGTGTGTGTGTGTGTGTGTGTGTGTGTGTGTGTGTGTGTGTGTGAGTGTGTGTGTGAGTGTGTGTGTGAGTGTGTGTGTGAGTGTGTGAGTGTGTGTGTGAGTGTGTGAGTGTGTGTGTGTGTGTGTGTGTGTGTGTGTGTGTGTGTGTGTGTGTGTGTGTGTGTGTGTGTGTGTGTGTGTGTGTGTGTGAGTGTGAGTGTGTGTGTGTGTGTGTGTGTGTGTGTGTGTGTGTGTGTGTGTGTGTGTGTGAGTGTGTGTGTGAGTGTGTGAGTGTGTGTGTGTGTGTGTGTGTGTGTGTGTGTGTGTGTGTGTGTGTGTGTGTGTGTGTGTGCGCGCGTGTGCGTGTGCGCGCGTATGTGTGTGTTTGTGTGAGTTTGTGTGTGTGTGTGAGTTTGTGTGTGTGTGTGAGTTTGTGTGTGTGTATGTGTGTGCGTGTGTGTGTGCGTGTGTTTGTGTGTAGGGGGGGGGGGAAGGGTTACGTGCCTGCATGTCCCGACGTGCGTGCGCGCATGAGCACATAAATAAACCCCCTATTTCCGCGTTAAGCCTAAACAATGAAATCCAAAATATTTGCTTTTCCCTGAACGAAGATCTGGAAGGAGAGAAAACCGCACACAAAAACAGCCAACAACGACCCGGAAGTAAACAAGCGTGAAAGCGCCTTCCCGACGCGCGACCGTTAGGCGGGGCGGCGCCGCGCGGGCCTCCGATCTTGGGCAACCGGCGCCAAGGTGAGCCGGCAGGGTTAGAGGGCACAGGCAAGGGCCAAGGGGCAGGGGGCCGGAGGAGACAGGGGAAGGGGAGACTGGAAGAGTCAGGGGCAGGGGGGACCAGAGGGCCCAGGAGGTCAGCGGTAGGGACAGAGGTGCAGGGGGGGGGGGGGGGGAGGCAAAAGGAGGTGGAAGGGCAAGGTGAGCCAGATGCTCTCCTGCGGCAGGCGAGGCTGGGCGAGGGAAGGGCCTGCGGTATGTTCGGCGCAAATTCTCGCTGAAGATCAGCATCACCAGCGACGAAATCGAAACTGGTGACGGCACAAGAGGGGGGGGGGCGTGGCAGATAATGTTTAAGGAAACGGTACTATTGCAAGCCATCATTTACGGTTGGTTGAAGCTATGGTTTTCAACTAGTGAAAGTTATAATTTACAACCACTGAAGGTTATAATCTACAACTCATGAAAATTATGATTTATCTACGAAAAATCTCATCAACCTTAAATAAAGCAAACGTCTTATTGGAAGCATCTGGAGTCAGAGTCTTGCGTTAAATCGAAGCCTTCAAGTTCCAAATAGTGCATGTCTTGTCCCAATCACTCTATCCCACAAATACTAACGTCCTAGCTTAGAAATCCGCTTTAGAAAAGGACAAAGACACTTCACGGAATCCACGAACTTGTAACTTCTCTACACACCTCTCTATCATTTATAAACAGAATCATAAGTTTCCCGTAAAAGAGTCCCCGCCGAGAGCCAGTAACGTCGAAGTGCGTACTACACACCCACGTGCTCGTCCGGGTCGTCGCCAAGTCTGTTGTACGCAAGACCCGAGTCCTCCTCCTGCCACGCCGCGACTCTTGGCACCTCCCCGCGGGGCCCTGTCCGAACGACCGTCGGATGGAATATGTGTCGCTTTTTTCTCTCTCTGAAGTCAAGACGGAAACCCCCGTGACACGTGTAAAAATAAGTAAACAGGAAAGTTGTTGCGACGTTCCTTGCGCTGCCTCGCGCACCTGTCCTTGGCAACAGGTCCCCACCGCGGGCATGGCGCCACGTGGGTCGGGCACGGCTGATTCAATGGGCTTCCCGCTGACCCCGCTTCCACCACCCATGCCAGGCCCGCCCACATGCCCCTTCTTCTTATTCTCCCTCCCCTCCCTTTCTTTCTTCCTTGTTGCGATTTCCCCTTCCTCCTCCCTTCCATCGCATCCCTCCCCCACCCTCGCGCCTAAAGCAGCATACCTCACTATCTATAATCCAGAAATGTTATAATTTACGTAGCTATCCTGCGGAGGCGCCCGCGTTGCATAATAGTGCAGCCGCAGCAGCCTGCCGGAGGAGAGGCCAGTCTGCTGGTCCCTTTGTTCCCGGCAGCCGCCCAGGTGTCAACAAACTTCCATACCGCCGCCCACTCCCGCTGCTGGCATGTCCTCTGCCTCTTGCTTTCCCCAACACGGCGTTTGGCACTTTATCCAGTGTATGTATACGTATAAACATGCACATCTACATGTGTGGGTGTACATACATACAAATATTCATATAGAAATAAACGAATATATATATTCAAACAATTGCATATATATGGATAAATCAACAAACAAATAATAAAATAAATAAATATATATACATATAATGTATATAATAAATGAATAAATAAACAAATAAATATTATATATATATATATATATATATATATATATATATATATATATATATATATATATATATATATATATATATATACACACATTTATATATAAGAACAATACCTCTCTCAATTCCTTCCTACTCCCCTCGTCCCTCCCTCCCTGCCTCCCCCCTTCTCTCCCTCCGTCTCACCTGTAATAAGGCAGAACTTGAGCGCAAACTTGGGAGGAATCTTGGACAGGAGGTTCCCGGACAGATTACAGGTGGTCAGGGGCGTGTTCCTCATGAGGTGGAACACGGCGTCGGGGACCTGACACAGCTGGCATTCGCTCAGGTCTGGTGGGGAGGAGAAACAAAGAAATCAGACGTTAGTTCAGGATAAAAAGTCACCTTAAATCTATATATGTATGTATGCTGACGGACAACTATGTAATTCCGTAAATAAATCTACTTTATTATATGATCATGAGTGTCTCTTTGTTTTTTTGTTCCCCTTGTTTGTTGGTTTGTCTGCACGAGCGTCAACTTGTATATGACGTATGAGTGTTTACATTACAGTTATCATAGTATAGCATCCCTCACCAAAGGCCCCCTTAACTGTAAACGACGAATATCAGATATAAAAAGGATCATCTAATCACAAAGGAAATGCTCTTGCTAACAAAGCCAGCGGTATATATGACGTCATACATGTACGTACGGGCCCTGGCTCTATGACGTCACAAGGTCTTTGTTATCAAACGTGGCTGGGTGTTAACGTCCGCGTATAAGTTAAACGAGAAGAGAAGATAAACTTATCCTTATTTTTTTCACCAAGTTTCGTGACAATGTTGACATAAAAACCTAAGAAGAGTCTCCCATTTCCAGTCTTTTGTTACAATGCTGATGTAAAAAGAAATTAAAAGAAACCTCGTTCAAGTCTTTTCATTAATAAGTTCCGTGACCATTCTGACGAAAAAAAAGTTAAGAAGAGAATCCTACCTTAATTCTTTTCACAGAGACCGTGACAATGCTAACATAAAAAAAAAGTTCAGGAAAGAATCCCTCCTTAAAGTCTCTTCATTAACTTCCGCGATATTGCTGATACGAGGATGTAAAGTGAAGTCACCCGGTGCATGTGCCTTGTGTTTCTGGATTTCGAGTCTTCTCTAATATTACTATAGGTAGGGACAAGGAAGGAAGGAGGAGGGGAGAGAGGATGGGAAAAGGGAGTGAGAAAAAGGAAAAGGGAAAGAGGGACAGAGAAGAGGTAGGGAGGTAGAGCAAAAGAGAGAGAGAGAAAGGAAGGAAAGAAAGAAAGAGAGCAAGACGGAGAGGAACAGGGAGCGTAGAGGGAGTCAAAAAGAGGGAGAGGTAGGGAGGGCAAGTGGGAGTCACAGAGGGAGAATGGGAGAGGGAAGAGAACGGGAAAGGGTTACAAACATTAACGTTGGTTCCGGGAGAAGACTCCACGAAAGGCAGAAAAATATAAGGAAAGAAAAAGTCGCAACTGTTGAAGTATTACGTCGAAGAAGGGGGGGGGGGAGGTTAAAGGGTACTGCTAGGGCAGGGGCGTGGGGGGGGGGGAGGCAGCTGGCACCATTATCCCCTTCGATGCTGTGTCTTTCGTGACGCAGTTACGGGAGACTAAAACGCACATGCGTCTATGCTCTCTCGGAGTGTACGTAGAACGAGTTAGTTGAGGAGTTTCTAAAGCGTTTCTTTAAAAAAAGTGCAACTTCGGAATCTCTATGCTGGCTGATTTGTAGTTAATATAGAATTATGCACGTTTAAATGCTAGATTTTAACGCTAATTATTTAATATGTATTTTTAAAAAGACGTCAGCTAATAATCATTCCTGTATAAATAAATTTGCATAATTTACATACACATGACCAATAGATTTAACTAATCTTAAACTATCACGCGCAGCCCTGATTAAACCCTAATTTGCCACCGTTTCAAAGTTTAATGAATAAATATACACGCGCACATCTGTTCCCCCGTAACACAAGAGGCAAGTTTGTTGTGCGTAATAGCGGGTCTAGAGCATAAGAACGGCGGGGAGGCGCACTTGCCCTGGGTGTGGCGTAGAGGCTGGTGGTGATGGAGGTGTGGCGTGGCGCCGCGTGTGGGGAGGGGGGGGGGGGGGGAGATTTAACTAATCTTAAACTATCACGCGCAGCCCTGATTAAACCCTAATTTGCCACCGTTTCAAAGTTTAATGAATAAATATACAAGCGCACATCTGTTCCCCCGTAACACAAGAGGCAAGTTTGTTGTGCGTAATAGCGGGTCTAGAGCATAAGAACGGCGGGGAGGCGCACTTGCCCTGGGTGTGGCGTAGAGGCTGGTGGTGATGGAGGTGTGGCGTGGCGCCGCGTGTGGGGAGGGGGGGAGGGGAGGGGAGGGGAAGGAGACCGAGGCACCGTCAGCCTTGGGAAGAGGAGGGAAGGGGTCCTCTGAAGGTGGCAGGAGAAGAGGGAGGTGGGAGGAGGGGGAGTTGGGGGGGGGGGAGTTGAGAATCACGCAGAAGAGGATAAAAAGGCCTTGGGGCGGCTGGGTTTGGTGGAACGGGGTTACAAGGACATCGCGAACTTTACATTCATCATCACTTTAATCACTATCCCAACGCTATCATGACCACACTGCCACCAGGATGTGTCTGGCTCCGAAACATCAATTAGCAACATCCACATGAAGATAAGAATGCGCAATGTACGACCGATGTATCCACGGCGCTGCGCAAGCCTTTGTTTCAACTCCTGCTCGCGATGCAACATGAAATTACCCCTTTTTAATCTATTTATTCACAAATTTCGACCACCGTTCTTTGTCTACACTTTACTCTAACCCAATAACCGCACTCTGACTGCCCTCCCCCTCCCTCCCCAGCCCGCAGTAAGTAATCTGTAGGGCATTCGTGGGGCTTCTTGCGAGGCTGGCCTTGAACGTTTGTCCGCAGCCGCACGGAGCTGCCTCGGCCGTGTTTACGTTTGATCAGCTGTTGAGGCGATCAGCTGTTCGCCGTGTATCTACTTCCCTCTAGGTAAAGCTTTGGGGAGTTCTCGAGTTTGGAGTGGGAGTTCCTTCACAAATTTCTAAACAGTTTGTCGAATTTATATCCTGGTATTGCTGTGTAAGGATGCTTCCTCGTGCGATATTAATCAGTGACAAGTTCTCGCAAATACCACAGAGTAACAGTAGTCCTCTCCGTGCAGCACGTTTATTCGACATTTTTACCTGTTCATGTCTGTTGTTGTTGTATTTGTTTTTATTTATTTGAGCGTCCGACAGTACTTCTGACCAGAATTACAAGAGCGCGTAAGGTCCATTTCTCTTAGTGACAAAGCATCAGGCTACAAGGTTAAAAGATGTTCAGGTCTGCGTGCTTTGACAGACTCTCCCCCTTGCTTCTAAAAAGAGCAAGGTCGATTTTCCTATGAACACCATCGCGTGGCTTGCAATACGAGTGTAAACAAGGTAGCAGAGAGAGGAATATAACAAAGACACGATTGGAACTGAATTAATAATCGATGTAAGGGAAATGTTCGTATGTACAGTGATATAATCTGTTGCAATTATCAACTCGGTGAGGGACTGGTTGAAATTTCAGAGCTCTTTCATGGTCAATTTGGCTGAAATTAGTTAATAAAAAGAGTCAGTATGAAATAAGTCCATTTTTCGTTGAACTCTTACATGTTTGCGTATATCCTCAACTAAAGGTATACATTTCCAGACTTCACAACGAAAACAAAAAATGCAAAATCATCCAGCAACTGGCATTAGCAAACCAAAGCTCAATTCATGAAGAATGTTCGCAAACTGGTCTTCGATTCGCGTTCAACCTTGATCGCTAAGGTTTTTGACCGTTAACAGAAAAAATGTAGACACCGTGAGGCCAGCAACATATTTTTTAATAACCTTTTTGTACAGTTTTCGTTTAAGAAGCTGTTGTTATCCCCAGTATTTAAGTATTGACCTTGGTATGATTCTATTAATAATTTTAGGCGGCTCATCCTTCTCGCATGAATGACAACTTGTTTCATTTCGAAGCTCATTTTTTATGACATCCCGATATAATGTACCCACACATCCGGGCGGTCTACGAGGCTGCTCGGCGGAGTCCGTGCGCTGGCTCGGCTGCCGTGACGTCATGGTCGACACACACAGGGAAGCACGTGCGCATCGGCTATAAATACGATCTCTTTTCCTGTGTTTGCCGGTTAAATATTTACCCGCCAGGATTTAATATACGTAATCAATTAGTCATGCCATCTTTTGATTTCGTTCCGTGTTGCCCCAATGCCCACTCGCGAGCCAGACTTACCTAAGTGGCCGCCGTTTTCGCCACATTCGAGGCACCGCGAGGCGACGAGCGCTGCCTGACGAGCCATCGCGTCTTCGCTTCGCCCTTCACTGCCAGCCTCCCGCTGCGTCTCATTCCTTGGCCCGTTTGCACCAGCTATATTTTCACGCTCATATATTTTCTCTCTCGTATTTGATTTTAAAAAAATAGGTCTCTTCGTTTTCATCTAAATATATCTTTCTTTTTTCCTATTTAGTTAAATGTTTAAAACCATTTTGTTTCTGTGAAATCTCAGCATTCATTTCGGACGATTTCCGTGAAAAATAATGAGCAACGAAATGCGTCGAAGCCGTGTGCTTGTGGCGGGACACGCGAATATCGTATTAATATTACAAAACTACGCAGCAACCTACTTATAAAAGCAAACATATTCTTAGAACATCTTGCAGGGCAGAAGAAACGTTGTACCCTAAAGCTCTTACTCTCTTGCCAACATTATTAATCTCTGTAGTTTATTAAAAGAAAAAAAAAATGTACATTTTCTTTCTCCTTAAATATCTAACACACAACACGAAATCGGTAAAAGTTCCAAAAGCTTCGTGTTTCTACCAGTCGCTGCGGGATCCCGGAAACAGCAAAGCCATTAGTCATCTGTTTGTGTAGCTATGCACACAGCGCAACATACATGTAATATACACATGTGCACACGCACGCACACACACACACACACACACACACACACACACACACACACACACACACACACACACACACACACACACACACACACATATACACATACACATATATACATACATACATATATATATATATATATATATATATATATATATATATATATATATATATATATATATATATATGTGTGTGTGTGTGTGTGTGTAGATTATATATATAGGTATGTATATATTATATATTATATATATATATATTAAATATATATATGTATATATTATATATATGTATATATATATTTTTTAAAATATATATATGTATATATTATAAATATGTATGTATATATTATAT